TTTCTGCCTCCTATAGGGCTGGATACAGGCTGCCCATCCCTCTCCTCAGCACCAGCAAAGCCACGGATACTGTAAGAATTGTTTGCTCTAAATACCCTCACTGTTTTCTTCTTAACAGAAAGATACAGCCATCATTTTATGGCAATGTATGCAGGAAGAGAAGGATTTGATTTTCCAAATGCAGAAAGAGTCAAGCTCCCCTGTGGAATTTAAACACTCCTATTTGATGGGTTTCCTGGTTTGTTTCCTGCCTGACCCTCTCAACATTTCGGCACATGAATAATCGTGCTCATACAAACAAAATGGGCTCCTTCATGGATGAAACGCACAGAAAAGATTTGTACCATTAAAAAGTCATTTAATCTATTTTAAGGGTTTCTGGAAGACTGAAGTGTACACAGGCATGGTACCCTCTGGGAGAGGATCAATGTCACTGCCAGTGCACTTCCTGTGCCCAGGTGGCTGCAGGATGACAGTCTGATTATTAAAGAAATCACCACTAACAACAATACGCTCAATGCCCTCATTGTACCCACTGGGGTTTTCAAGCTCCATATTCCCTTACTGCTGCTGTGCACATGGATGCAACTCTGGCTGCTCCATGCACACAACTGCTGCCTTGGCAGCACCAAAATCTGGCCTGTTGTATCTAGATGACAGATTTCGTGGGGGAATATCTGGGATATTAGGAGGACATGCTCTGCTTTTCCTCTGGAAACAGTTTTAAAAGATCCAAACAAACTTCAGACAATTTAACGTTCACAGTAAAAAGTAGCTTGCGTCAGTCATTAAACCTCAAAGGGATCCCTGAATTGTGCTTTTCTTAATGAATTCAATAATCGATTCTTACTACACAAATAAGGTGGGGGATGGATCAGCTAATGAGCATTCCCAGTTAATTGCTTTCTTCAAGTGACAATTTGTACAAATGATACCACCAAAGTAGTAATAATATCCTTATTGATTAAATTAATCTCTAAAAGACAGCTCAAGTTTAATTAGCAATGGATGGCAGGAGCACAAGATACCCTGAATACAACCTTGTAACCATCCCAGATTTTGAAATCATGGCAACAGTCATGCAATAGACTCTTGCATCTTTATTCCAATAGACACACGTAATTTTATGGAGCATCTTCAGTGAATGTCTGTGACTAACCATGAAAATCCATTAGACCTTCCCTGCAGAGAAAAAGTGAGACACGCAGCAAAAGCAGACTTCCCACTTAGTCACACAGTCACTAGGACCACAAACAGTTCTAAAATAAAAGAAAAGAGAGCAGGGATGCTCAGAGAAGCCTCAGTGCCAAAACTCACACGTGGAGATGGTGGGGACCCACAGCAGCATCAACACCTTCAAGCTGTGGAAACTGGACACCAGATTTATCAAATCACAGCAGAACCTTTTAAAAAGAGTAAAAAGAGTTGGCTCACAGCTTGGACAGAGAGAGCAGGTTATTTCTCCTGGGACCAACAGCAGGAGCTGGGCTACTTTCTCTCCCTGTTCTGGTGGTGAGATCAGGAGCAAGCAGCTTCACGGGCATCACCTGGTCATCAGCAGGATGAGATCTCCACAAACAGTCTGCTGGGGGATGTTACTAACACAGGAACAGATCAAATGTTTGGTCCTTGAGGCTGTCAACACGGTAAGAAAGACCTGGCACTATTATAATTTGGTTGCAAGACACATGTTGGGAGAGGAGAAAAAAAAGTATGTTGAAAACTTCTCAGCTGAAATATTAGCTTAAACTGCCTTGCTGAGCAAACACTTCTCTGCTCTCTGCCAAGTGAAGAGGAATTAGACTCAATCCTGCCTCAGGAAGTGAAGCAGTGGACATCAGGGACAAAAGGAGTGAATAAGCACAACCTTCTGGAGACGCTCCAGTGTGATAAAAGAGAACACAATAATAGAGAGAACAGCATGTTCCCCTTGTCAGGGCCAAAGCTACCCCGCAAGCAGAACAGGAATTTGCCTGGGGCAGCCACATGCTTACTGGCTTTATTGTTATTATTATCTGAGCAATCTGAGGATGCTTCCCAGCACGTAGAGGAGAGCAGTGAGCCCAGACTCACCTCTGTGCATGTAACGGGTTTATTTTTCTCATCTAGCTGAATTCAGCAGCTGAAAGAAACACATGGCCTGTAGATTTCTCCACATATAGGTACAGTACAGCTTATTTTAGAACATTTGAAGTTGAAGGAGGTGATCCTGCCCCTTTTACTCTGCTCTTGTGGGACCCCACTTGCAGCACTGTGAGCAGTTCTGGTGTCCTCAACATGAGAAGGACATGGAGCTGTTGGAGCAAGTCCAGAGGAGGCCACAAGGATGCTCAGGGCCTGGAGCACCTCCCGTATGGAGACAGGCTGAGAACATTGGGGCTGTTCAGCCTGGAGAAGATAAGTTGTGTGGAGACCTCAGGGCAGCTTCCAGTATCTGAAGGGGGCTACACAGGTCCTGGAAAGGGACTCTTCATCAGGGACTGTAGTGATAGGATAAGGGGTGATGGGTTTAAACTGAAACAGGCGAAGTTCAGCTTAGATATAGGGAAACAGTTCTTTACTGGGAGGGTGGTGAGGCACTGGCACAGGTTGCCCCACTCCTGGCAGTATTCAAGGCCAGGTTGGACACAGGGGCTTGGAGCAACCTGCTCTAGTGGAAGGGGGCCCTGCCCATGGCAGGAGGTGGGAACTGGATGGTCTTTTCCAACCCAAACTATTCTATGATTCTGTACTTATGAAAGAAGACTCTTGTATAGTCTATGGCCTTGGATCTTCTAGGTTAGGACAGCCTAACCTTCCCAATTATTTATTTCATTCAGTTATTCAGATTACTTGCATTTAATTTTACTATAATATAGTTAATTTGTGCATTTACCTGAAAAACTGTAATTTTTCCACGTCCCTTCCTTAGCTTCAATGGGTTTATTATCTCATTTTTGCTCGTGGAGCATTTTTGATAATACATGAATCTAATGTTTGAAAAATGTCACATGATTGTCAGAAAGATGATGGAATTCGCCTCATCATCAAAAAGAAAAGAAATACTTTCTGTATTTATTCTCATCCAAAAATCACTGAAACAAGCAAGAAAGCACCATTACTTTTCTGACTACAGAGAGCCACTTACAAGGCAAACAGCAAAGCACCCACAAAAAGCCTTATAATTTTCTATTCAAGTTGATTCTTTAAAATGCTTTTATTAATAAAGAGCCCTACGTTACTGGTAATGTGACCTGGCTCAGACAGACCCCAGCCACGCAGAGTGCAAGCATGTGAGGAAGGGACCATTAGAAACAGCTATATCCATCCGAGCCCCGACATCTGTTTGAATCCGTAACAACTCTCTGCTTCCTTTTACATACAATGACTAACCTTGGATAAACTATTTATAACTGAAACCTCACTGTGAAGTGACACACCAGTACCTGGCAACCACAGACACACCATCTCCAGAACCACTCTCTGTGCGTGCTATGGCCAAAGTCCCAATGATCTGGGACTGATGTGCCATGAGCTCTTGGTTGCTTAAATAAGACACTTGCACACAGACTGATTTTTGGAGCTTAGGAATGTTTGAAAATCTACTTTCTACATTGTCTTACAAAGTGGATTTCCTAAGTATTTTGACTCTCAAAACCACCAACGTTGTTAATATCTTGACTGGAATACACAATGTATGAGTGTACAAACTGCAGGGATACATATGGATTAGAAACCCAAAGTCAATTGGGGAGGTAGGGATTACTTTTTTCCAAAAGGATGTTTATCAGATAGCCTTTCTAAACAGTTCAGTATGTGAAAAAGAAGAGGACATATGCTCATCACTGGTCCCTGAGACATCCACCTTATTTTTCCAGTTAAGAAGCCAATCTTCCCCAAAATCTCCCTAAAACCTAACAGATGGGCTGAATTACCAGCTGGGAGACGACTAGTACCACAATGATATTATTAAAACATCCCACAAACAAACAAGGACAGCCACAAGAGAAGCTTGCTTTAGAGCAGGATCCCTCTAGACCCAAGCAGCGATGTGCATGATGATGTGCAATAATTACTTCATACAGAGAAGAGCTATGTGGCATATTTAAAGCCTTTAATTTCTATTCCCTCGTTTAAGTGAGATTATTGCTCCCTGTAGCCAGTAACAATAGATTTCTTAAGTTTCTTCTGACTTGCCAGCAAAGCAAATATCCTCTGGTAAATCTATGAACTGAACAATGATTCCTCATTTTCACAACTGCACAGTCAATCCAATTTTCCAGTTATAAGTCTCAAGCCTCTCCCCATCAGCTTGTTAACATACAAGTGCTGTACTCTAAAACACGCCTAAAAGAATCTCCATAGGCTTTGCCATCCCAAGTTGCTTCTGAACATTGAATTCATTGCTTATGAATCACTTCACTGTATGTAAACACTTGAATCACTAAGCCACATCTAATACCGTACACAGTAATCAAGTGATGCTGTCACAGTGGATTCTGTAGCGATAAACGTCTGCACGGGTGCATTGAGGCAGCTCTAACAACAGGGCTATTAGCGTTTCACTTTTAAAAGCAGGTTTTGCCTGTTTGTGAACATAGTTTATGTGCAGATGTTGTATGCCTGTAAAATATTGTCAGGCCTTGTGTCTCCTTGAGATACTCACAAGAGTCCCACCAACCCCCCGAAGGCTGTCCAAATGACGCTGTATTTTTGCTGGTATTTAAGGTACCTATAAACTTACAGGAATGGTGTGATAACATGACCAGGGCCTGTTTAAGCTGCCATGCCATTTCACCTCAGTAGCAGGTCAGACAGATAAGAATCCAAGGAAAAAAACTACATTCACCCCTTAAAGCAAGTTCTTTCCCTTTCTCAAAGTTAAACTAAAATGTATGAAACACACCAAGGCTCAGATCCCCTGAAGCATTCTAGTAACTGTTCATGCTAACTTGTGCAAGTGGTGTTTGGCTTCCTTGCACACTGCTAGGTGTAATTTTTCTCACGCACGTATCACAAACCTTGATGCCGAGCTCGATGTTCTCCCCGCCGTACACATCCATCCCAGGATCCAGAAGCCCAATCTCCCCAAAGAACTTTCTGTGCACAACAAAAGAGCAACCGATCATCGCCGGTGTCCTGGATGAAAAGAACAACAACAAAAATGCACAATGATTGGTATTTTCCAACTTTTAATGGACCGAGGGCTGATTTCTGTGAAGCTCCTATTGGCTTCAAATGTTTCCGGCCACTGTTTATCTCAGAGTCATAGAATGTTTTGGGTTGGAAAGGACATTAAGATCGATTAGTTCTAACCCCCCTGCCATCAGCAGGGATGCCTCACACTAGACCATGTCGCCCAAGGCTCTGTCCAACCTGGCCTTGAACACTGCCAGGGATGCAGCATTTGCCACTTCTCTGGGCAACCCATTCCAGTGCCTCACCACCCTTATAGTAAAGAACTTCTTCCTTATATCCAACCTGAACTTTTCCTCTTAGTGTTTGAACCCATCACCCATGGTCCTATCACTACAGTCCCTGATGAAGAGTCCAGCATCCTTGTAAACCCCCTTCAGCTATTATCCCAGACACTTCTCAGCAATGAGTGAGCTCTGTTCCTTTGGAGACATTCTTTTACCAGTGCACTGAAACTGTCCCAAAGTTCATTTTACTGTGTATAGACTAGAGAAAGAGTTCTCCTGGGATTAAATTACTGAAAAACTTTCAGGTCCTGACTTTGTCACAAACACCTTGGTCTGTCTATGGACAAGGGCACAGTTCCCCTGTGTTTCCATTCTCCGTAAGTAAAGGAAATATAATAATGGCATTTCCTTTCTCTTACTTTCTTCTTGCATGTCTAGTACAGACTAGGCTTCAGAACAGACACTAGTTTTTACAGTATCATGTGAAACAGAGTTTCTGATTGGGATCTTTACAATATATCACAGACAGTCAACACCAACCAGTGACAAGCAGCTAAACTGTGCATTTGCAGAAGCATCTGCTGAGTCATTTGCCCAGTTCCACCAATATGGCCAGGGCTCTGTAGAGATCAAGTTGTCACATTCATCCTGTAAAGCCTCACGCCCTCCAGCTAACAGTGCTGCTCAGCTCCACATGTGCAAGAGCTGCCAAGCACAGTGTCCGGTCAGGGAAAATGATGGAGAAAAAAAGAGAGTGGTACTAATAATACTGATATCAGTGGAATAGCAGAAAGATTGAGGAAAAGCTCGGTGTCAGGGGTTAATGTATAATAACTATGCAATTTCAAAGACATAATAGCTGGTTGTGTTTATTAACAACCCTGGCTGCAATGTGCACACACACCATCCCTCCCTCACTACCTTGCAAAACACCTCACCAGATCTCCATCTGACACAGCTGCCTTGAGATGAGGATGCTGTTCTGATTCACACAAGCTGAGATCATGTTTGGGGGTAGTTTCTGAGTGGTTAAACACTTGTGACCCTCTCCATAAAATTACACTTTGCCACAGAGCATGGCACTGAACAAAACCGTATCATTATGTTCTTGCTGCCTGGGGACACACTAATCTGCTGCGGTTATGGCATGTGGAAAGTTTACCCCCTGGGATATTTTCTGTACTAAAATAGAAATATAAGAACTATTCTCCCATTTAACTTGCTTTCATTTGAATTCACGCTGTAAAGGGGCAAAAAGAGGATCCACTTAGAGGGATGAGCAGGGAGGAGACAATGAATTTTACAGCTAAGCCATGCCAAGGTACTGCCAGAGTCTGCTTCTATGGGGAGCTACCGTACTGCCAGAGTCTGCTTCTATGGGACACCTCTGCCCACCCAAAGCTCAAAGCTTGGAGAGGTGGAAGCTCCATGGCAGCGGATGGGATGGCCATCACCTCTGGAGCTCCTTGCCTGAGCCTAGGGGACACACTCTTTGTGCTGCGTGGGGAAGACCTGCAGGGTGTAACTTCTGTGGTAGACCATGTATCTGGATATCTCACACCATTTAGAAATGCCCATTCTCCAGTGCAAAACCTGGTCTTGAGGCAGAAACTGGGCAACAGGATCATGTATTTCAACAGCAGCCTCAAAACCCTGGCTCAAGGCACATTTCATGGCTTGTCCATGCTGTGGAGCACGTTCAAGGCTAACTAAGCAGTTATGGCCTGCAGAGGTGGGAAGTACCTTCAAACATACCCAGACACAAATTACAGATAGGAAGGATCAGGCCCACACTCAACTTCTCCATCCACATCCTCACGAGATGCCCATATAGGGCTCCATAACCCCAAGAACCTCACAGCTCAGCTCTGCCAAATTAATCTTCATGAAATCCTTGAGCTCCTTAGAGGAAAGGTCCTAGCCACTTAAGTGTTATTATTTATAGACATTTTAATACTTCCATTGACTGGTAGAACAGCTGCACGCTGCTGCCATCTTAGATTAGTTAGAATTGAAATCCATCAGAGGGTTATGTCAATAGATTTCTTCCTTGACAGCAAGCTCGGCCTTCCTTCCAATCAGCAGTATAATGTTTCATGGTTTGCTGCCACTCTAGTACTTAAGATTTCAATTCTATTGCTTTATTTGTAGCAAGTTAACTGCCATCAGCAGAAACAATTCTTTCTGAAATGATAATCACATTACAGATGCCAAATCTAATAGCTCCATTATCTTAGATTACCTCCTGGAATTAAAGAGAAGGGTAAGTTGTTCTGGTTTTACGGTGAGTATGCAGTTCATCTCCTCCACTGGGAATAGGTGTGGTGGAGCATGGCAACATTTGACTTCTCTAGTCAAAACCTGTTAGGTCTGTTAAAGGCACTCAGAGAGCAGTTAAAGCCAGAAAAAAAAAATCCAGCTGAAAGTTTCAGACAAATGAAACTGCATTTCTGACCCAGTAATGTGGATCGTGAGTAGTGTGAGCAGCAGGTCAAAGGAGGTGATCCTGCCCCTCTATACTCTGCTCTCGTGAGACCCCGCTTGCAGCACTGTGTGCAGTTCTGATGTCCTCAACGTAAGAAGGACATGGAGCTGTTGGAACAAGTCCAGAGGGTCATAAGGATTTGATATGGGGCTGGAGCACCTCGCATACGAAGCCAGGCTGAGAAAACTGGGACTGTTCAGCCTAGAGAAGCTGCGTGGAGACCTCAGAGCAACTTCTAGAACCTGAAGGGGAAATACAAGGATGCCAGAGAGAGACTCCACATCAGGGACTGTAGCGATAGGACAAGAGGCAATGGGTTTAAACTTAAACAGGGGAGATTTAGGTTGGATATAAAGAAGAAATTCCTTACTGAGAGGGTGGTGAGATGCTGGCACAGGGTGCCCAGAGAAGTTGTGGCTGCGGCCTCCCCGGCGGCGTTCGAGGGCCGGGCCTGGCAGTGTTCAAGGCCAGGATGGACGGGGCTTGGAGCAACCTTGTCTAGAGGAAGGTGTCCCTGCCTGTAGCCAGGAGTTGGATCTGGATGAGCTTTAAGGTCCTTTCCAACCTAAAGCAGCCTATTATTCTATGATTATTTGGAACTCACCACCAGATAAACAAAGTTTTCTCAACTACAAACCACTCAACAGCCATACATGGGAGCCATATCCCAAGAAAGCCTTTTTCATTATTTTGCAACACGCCTTTCACTTTATAGACTACAGAGTCACCTTTCCAAAATGCTCTTAGAAACATGGTAGTTGGGCTTTCATAACTTCACCTTCAAATCTTTCTCATCTTCATTGTTTTCCACACCCGACACGGTGAAGCACGCAAAGCAACATTCCCGCGCGGGTCCCAAGTCCCTCAAGCAATACAAATTAAGTGCTACATTCTTCTTTGTAACAATGCCTCCATATTAAACAAATGAGGAATCAAGCGGCGCTCAACAATTTAAATGAAAACACTATTTGATTTTGTAGTAAATCCTTCAAAAAGGTGGACGTTTACAATAATAGATAGCTCATCCACAAGGAAATAATGGCCTGCAGACAAAGAGCTGATAAAGCTTCTTTTTCCTCTGCCTCTTAATTAAAAGCATTAACACAGTTTGTTTTTAAAAATCACCCAGCTCAGCTAAATGCATTTTTATTTGTCCCGATAGCTATTCATGCTTTAATGAGAAAGAAAAAGCAGAATTTGGCAGGAAAGGATGAACAGAGATGTTTAGCACAATTATTGGGTTTGTATCCAAAAATGCACAGCATTAGTTCCCTGCCATTCATTTGGTTGGCTCCTCTATACAATAAGTGACAAAAAGGTCAAGAAAAGCCACTTTTATGAAATATCCTCAGCATGAAGCTTTAAGTAAAGATGAAGAAGATACGGGGGGAAGACGTTTATCCTAGTCTATTAAGTTACTATAATGGTCTTCCTTTCTTTAGTGCACAGTTATCATCTAATGATTAAAAAGTCTCAAGTAGATTGCTTCTTCAATTCAAGGAAATAATTTTCCTACACAATTGGATTTTGCTTCCAATTTTATTCTAAAGCACAAGTTATAAAATACGTAGAAAAAAGGTATTAGAAAAATAATCAGTGGTCATACCACTAAGAATATACCTTAAGAACTGCTGGGGTGTCCAGTGTCTGCTGTTGTTTCTAACAAACCTCAGTCGTGGAGCTGCTCACCTTCAACAACACAATCCCACTACTTCAGCAGGCGCAGCACCACGTTCCACATATTTGGGATGGTCCTTTACCTGCCCAGCAAGGCCTTGCCTGTCCTTCTCCCAAAACTGACAGTCCTAATTTAACATGCCAAAGTCAACCATCTTATTTTCCCCATTTTGAGCTTTCAGACCTGTCCAAAACACGCACAACTCCATATTTCTGCTGCCTGGCAGCAGCTCCAAGTTTCCACAGGGGGTCACTGGCAGAAGCCAGCAGCTCAGCAGGAAACTCTGGGAGACTCTGAGCTCCATGGCTTAGATTTAACCAACTCATATGTAGAACATTTCAGGTAAATGACCAAATTTCATCAAATAAAGCCCATGGCTTTAAATAATGGCCTATCAGTTACTTCCCTGGTGATACTGGGTTAAGGAAGAACACCAGCTTTATTTTTACATGCCATTCTATGATAAAACACAATTTTCTTTCAGCTATAGACAAAATTAAGGACCTGATTTGCAAACAGAAACAACTGTCAGTGCTGTCACCTCTGTGCTTCT